TAATTAATATTTATGCTAACCCTACTGATTCGACTTGCGAATCAGTGAAGATGACGATTCTTTCCGGCTCAGTCCTCCAAAGTTGTTCTCGTCCAAGTCCTTGTCCAGGTGCCTCCAGCACCCCAAGAATCGAGCCACACCACCACGAACAGCCACCTTCAGTTAAATCCGTTCTCACTCGAACACTCACTCAGAAAACCCAAATACCCGAACAAATACTCACACTGATTAGTATCAGCAGAAAAAACCCACGATTCGACTCTACACACACAGCCCAAGGATTCTCACACACAGTATAATTTTGGGAAGAATGAAAGTAATTAATTGGTTTTTCGTATCCTTCACCTTTTGGGGCCAGAAGAATAAATAGACCCTCAAACGAGCAACAAAAAGCAAATAAATCGCAGAGAAGATCAGATTCGCCATGAAAGACGGGTCAGAAGAATGATCGAGAGAAGGAGCGGCAGAGATAGAGAGGAGAGATTTTAGGTTTTGCTGAGAATGAGAGAGAGGAGAGGGTTTTATAAGGTGAGATGTGTGGCTAAGATAGATTTAATAATCTAACGGTCATTATAAAACCTGTACTCAAGGTGGTGGTACGCTGACTCCATTTGAGAGTGGGATGCCATCGGAAGTGGGCCTAGGCCGGTTTTAAATTAACCATCTGGGCCCAAACACCAACACTAGGTAATATGTGCTTTGTGCTGAGTTGCTGGCGCCATCGCTAGTAGGTCATGAATGAAAAAATGTGACAAAGAAAACCGAATGGTTACAAAAAGTTAAGCCCCTTCATTTGTTGAAACTGTGCTACTCATGGCTTCCCTGCTTGTGTTAATTTCGTTCATATTATTCTTTTCTTGTTCTTCGTTTGATCTGTATACAAAATCTCCTTTCTCCCATAGAAGATCCTTGTAATAGAATATGATTGATATTATGTTTTGTAAGTATGTTCAAACGAACACCCAACAACAATGACGCTACATCATAAGACACCAGTTGCCCTCCCTAACATAAGTTAACTTTTTGAAATTATTTTTAGAAATCAAATTAGGATTTCGTAAATTAAAATAAAAGAAAATGTCAGACTTCTCTACTGTACGGACACTTTTAGAAGGTGAAGAGTCCCAGTATCCCACACATGGGCACTCGGATATCTGTGTTGGGCCGTGTCGTAATTTATGTCATATATTTTCTTTTCTGAATCATATGCCAGCCAAATTAACTTTCAAGAATCATAAAAAAAAATATTACTTGGACAAAAAATAAATAATTCAAGGAGGAGGATGTTTATTTATTACAGTCATGATAATAATGGTGAATAGTTGGCACTGTAGTCCTCGTACCAGAATTACCCCTGACATGGCCAACCATGGAAACTCGCAAAGCCTCCTCTTCATAAGCCCTTCTCTCCAACTTATCCATCTCCTCCTTCTTGATCTTCTTCTTCGCATTCACAAACATCGCTATCGTCAGCAAACTCAGTAGCGCCGCCCCCAACGCGCCTCCGATCGAGCCCACCGTCACTATCTCCACTTACCGACCTCTTTCCCGCCGCTCTTCAACGCCGCCGTCATATATAACGGCATTTCCGCCACCAACCCGAAGTAGCCATTACTCGTCGAAACACACACGTTAGGCCCCGTTATTTTAGGGGTTTAATGTGATATATTTGTTTAAATCCGGGGTCATTGTGTAATATTAAGGAAGTTAGAGCATAATGTATAGAATTGATAAGAATTATATTATAGAGGGTATTTTAGACTAAATACATGAGGATGTGTTTATTTGAAAGACAATTTTTTTTTGTAGACCAATATGAATTTAAGTTCCTTGTGATGGGATGAGCCTTTTTGCCATTCGGAAAATAAAATACCAAAAATCTATGTAACAAAATTAAAAAAATTGAAAAAAAAGCCAATGGTGGTTCGTTCACCTGAACATTAGAAATGAAGCATGAAAGGGTCAACGGCGGCGACATTCAATATCGGGTTAGGGCTTTAAAATTGGTGAATTGATGATAATTAATGTTAAATTATGGTTTAAATCGTAAATTAAGGGCAATTTAAAAAGTTATGAGTAAGTTTGGTAGTACGGTAAGATTGTTGTTATGAGCAATAACTCATAACTCGTTGAAAGTCTCAAGTCTACCTAAAAAAAATTTCGTCAACGTGGGTTAAAAATATTAATTTTCTATATGTTGTTATGATCTGCGGCGTAAGATTAGAAACGCAAAATAGTGTTAATGGACATATGTGGAAATATAGATTTAAGATGGGCTTTTGAAACAATCTTCATACTTGGATATAAAACAAAAATCATAGGGAACAAAATTCATTAGGAAACCTGATGAATCACATCAGATTTCGACAATCCAACATCAGTTAAACCTTAAAACAATTTAGGATTTAAGAAGAGAAAACAAATATTATGAAGCTCGAACCAGGTGGATCGGGAACCGGTGCCTTATTTGGTACGATTGGCAGTATAGAATTGTAAATTACAAAAATTGTGCTTTTACGAAAAAATCGGAATTTTGACCGGTTGACACATTGATGCAACATAAGCTTTGAAAGAAGCAATTTAGCTAAAAAGCTTGATTTATAAAATTGGATTTCTTGATAAAAATAAATATGGTAGTTTTTTTCCAACAGTCAATCTGGAATTCAACTGTGCAAAAATCATGTTATTCATGACTGAACAAAACGTATTGATGTGAAATTTCACTTTATTCGTGACAATGTAGAAAAAGGGATTAATTGGTCTTGAGAAAATTCCATGTGAATTCTATCAATCCGTCATATATGGGCACCGAATGCCTTCTTATAAGCAATTGCGTTTATGTTTGAAAAATCTAAAGATCTTTTGTAGTACTTAGCAACCCTGTGATGTCAGTCTTTGTGACTGCACATGTTACTTGCTTTCTGAGTGAAATGCATGACTTTATGTGGTTACCCTTTATTTTCTTTGTTATTACAAACTCAAATATGAATGAACTAAATTGTGCGTATGTTCAAACACACTAAAAAGGGCACCTGTCTTAAAAGTTCTTGATAATCCATTTGGTCTCGGATGGAGATTTGTTAAATTTTGGGCTTAGTGGATTAATTTTAACCATTAACTGATCTCTCGGATGTGGCCCAACAACTCAACCCCAACAACAATAGGCCCACTTGCTCGGTCAAACCCTTGGAGGGCTCTAGATCTTCGATCATGGCCATTGAGTTTCATCGACTGATCTAGACAGTCCGCTCGAGTTATTTTACCTCCGCCTCTCTAACAAACCCTATTTTCTGGTCTTTCTTCTCTCTCTTCTGGTTGTACCACTGTATTAAATGCACCTTGGCATTGTCTGGGACACACCCATTTGACTATGACGATGGTTGTATTGTTTCTGAGAAGCTTTGGAGACAACTTCTCATTTCCATTTTTATAGTAAACCGTTTTGTATGTGAGAGGGATAGGACACCCATACAATTGGAATCTCTTCCTATTTTCAAGTCTCAGTTCTTTGGTAAGCGAGTGAGGAAAACACAAGTGAGAAAGTTTAAATTTGGTGAGGTCTGGGCATCTGGGTGAGAGCGTTGACCATACTCAGTGGTTTCGGTGTGATCTGTGCTTTCTAGATAATATGTGTTTTGCGCTGAGTTGCTGGAGCCATCGCTGGTGGGTTATGGACGAGAAAAATGTGAGGAAGAAAACTGAGGGATTAACAAAAAGTTAAGCCCCTTCTTTTGTTGAAACGGTGCTACTCATAGCTTCCTTGTTTTTGTTAATTTCGTTCATATTATTATTTTCTTGTTCTTCGTTTTGATCAATAATACAAAATCCCCTTCCTCCCCTAGGAGATCCTTGTAATAGAATATGATTTATATTCTGTTTTTGTAAGTATGTTCAAACGAACACCCAACAACAATGACGCTACATCATAAGCCACCAGTTACGCTCCCTAAACTTAACATAATTTTCATAAAAATAAAAAACTTTTTGAAATTATTTTTAGAAATCAAATTAGGATTCCGTAAATTAATATAAAATTGTCAGACTTCTCTACTGCAAGGACAATTCTAGAAGGTGAAGAGTTCTCGTATTCGATACCTAGACACTCGGACACGTCCGGACACGACTCGGACACACGTGTTGGGCCGTATCGTAATTTCGCTAAAAGTAGGACATTTGTGTCGAATAGTGTCCGCAATTTTTAAAAAGTTGGGACAAAACTCTTATGTTTTAAGAGAAAGTCCTAATAAAAAAATACGCATTTTCTTCTCGCTCTAATACCACTAGTAGAAATTTGTTTTTTACTAAGAAATTTTTTACTACGGTCAAAAGTCGTAACAAAATGGACTTTTTACTACGGGACAATTTTGAAGTCGTAGTAAATATCAGGATTTACCTTAGTAAAAAAGTATTTGGTACGGCCATTTACCGTAACAAAGTTTTTGGCAGGCCCGTATATACTACGGGGCAAATTCATAGCAAATGCGTAGCAAAAGTCTTTTTACTACAAATTTGATACCTTTTGGTACGGTTAATGGTCGTAGTAAAAAGCCATTTTTCTACTAGTGTACTAATTTCCTCTATCTTCTTTGAGAGTCCACTCAAAAATTCAAAACTCGAGGCGGCGACGGTGACAACGACCGGGAACACGAGCAGGAAGGGCGAGAGCTTCACTTATACGATTTGGCGACTTATCAATATTTTGTTACAATTTATAAATGCAACCCATTATTTTTTATAATTTATAAATATATCCCTATATTTTTTATATTTACACATATCCCTGCGCGTCCGTATCCTAGTTTTTTTGGAAATGCTGTATCACCGTGTCCGTGCATCTTGTTATTCGAATAGCAGAAACGTAAACCAGTCAAGTCTGATCAGCAAAACTAATGAAGAATAACTAATTAATTAATGTCACATGTTTTCTTTTCTGAATCATATGTAGCTAAATTAACTTTCAAGAATCATAAAAAAAAAAACAAATAACTTGGACAAAAAATAAATAATTCAAGAACGAGGATGTTTATTTATTACAGTCATGATAATAATGGTGAATAGTGGGCACAGTAGTCCTCGTACATGAATTACCAGAATTACCCCTGACATGGCCAACCATGGAAACTCGCAGAGCCTCCTCTTCATAAGCCCTTCTCTCCAACTCATCCATCTCCTCCTTCTTGATCTTCTTCTTCGCGTTCACAAACATCGCTATCGTCAGCAAACTCAGTAGCGCCGCCCCCAACGCGCCTCCGATCGAGCCCACCGTCACTATCTTCCACTTTCCGACCTCTTTCCCGCCGCTCTTCAACGCGGCCGTCATATACAACGGCATTTCCGCCACCAACCCGAAGTAGCCGTTACTAGTCGAAACGCACACGTTGTTAGGCCCCGTTCGGTTCAAGAAAGTGATCTTCCCATTTTCGTCGAACCTAACACATAAAGGGCTTATTATCCGTGCAGGTGACGTATCGTTGAGAAATTCGGTGCTGCTGAAGTCGATAGCAATCGGGTTTTTGCCAGCTGGCATTTCGATAGTGCTGACGTTTTTGCCAGGACCGGTGTAAGCTAGTAGGGCTAAGACAGGTGCAATGAGTTGATACGCTGACGATAACTTGTAGCTGTTGTAGTAGATGGACGACCAGTTAGACCCGAGGTTCTGTCGTAGGAGGATGACTCGTTTGGCGCAAGGGCGGATATTTAATCCGCTGCTTAATCGGAATTCTTGAATCTTGGCGCCGTATCTTTGAAGACTGCCGCAGCGCAGTTTTATTGCGTCGGCTTTTACGCCCGAGAGATTGGACGGTAGATTGATGGCGTGGAGTTTGCCGGTTTTGGAGTTTGTGGTGTATGATTTGAATGTGTAGTCTTTGATTATTTGATCAAGAAGAAGGTGTTGGTTTTGATCTGATTTTGAGGTTTGTAGTGAGAGGAATATTGTTAGAGTGATGAGGGAAAAGAGGAATCCCATTTTTTATAAAGATTGTGATTTTGATGATGGAAAAAGAATGTGATTTATCTTATGATTCAAGCATGAATGAAATGGAGGAGCTTTGATTTTTTTTTTTTTAATTTTCTTGTGTGATTTAAGTTAACTGTGGTTACAGGGCACAGGGGTTCTTATACCCCACATGGTAATGGAAATGTGTTGTGTTTGAATTTAAGGGTGGAAATTGTTACAAAATTTTTGAATTTGATTAGAAAAATTTCGATTTTTAAATAATATTTTTTGATTTTGAATTTAAAGAATTTTGATTTTTTCAATTATTCAATTTTATTTTTGAATACGTATGAGATTTTGGTTTATGATTTTTCCAATTTCTTTTGGATTAGATATAAGATTCTAATTTTTATTTACGACATAATTTTGAAAATTACACTTTTCGGAAATTTACATTGATAATATTGCCATGTGTCTTTTGGTATTGTTAGTATTTTATAGGGATGGATTCTTTAACATGACTTGACGGCAGGGTCAATATGTCGCATTCTATAGTACATGTGGTATATACGACACTGATAATACTACAAAGGTGAAATTTGTATTTAACCCTATTTTATAAGGTAAGATAACCATGGATATAATGGTGGAAATATATGAGTTTGAACGGAAAATCAAAGTGAGGAGAATAAATCATACAACAACTTTGGCGGTGTCTACGGTTTTGACCATAATACACTCATATGCAGTCAATTACTATATAAGTAAACGTACACTCTCGTGCAATAGTATGGTAATTTACACTGGTGTAATCTTATATATAAAAGAAACGTTAGGGCAACCTTAAGAAACCCTAATGTTATATTTGTAATTTTTCAATTTTTATCAAATTTTTATCTCCTTGATATTATTTTTGAATTTTATCATATTTGTATCCCCTAAATATTATTTTAAATATTATTTTTGAATTTTATCAAATTTGTATCCCCTAAATATTATTTTAAATATTATTTTTTATTTTTATAAGATTTTTGTCTCCTAAATATTATTTTTATTTTTATCTCCTAAATATTATTATAAATAATATTTTTTTAATTTTATCAAATTTATATCTCCTAAGTCCTAATTATAATTTTAAATATAATTTTCAACTTTTAGCAGATTTTTATCTCCTAAATATTATTTTCGAATTTTATCAAATTTATATCTCCTAAATAATATTTTAAATATTTTTTTCGAGTTTTATCATGTTTTTATTAGTTTTTTATCTCCTAAATATTATTTTCGATTTTTATCAGATTATTGTCTCCTAAATATTATTTTCGATTCTTATCAAATTTTTATCTCCTAAATATTATTTTAAATAATAATTTTAATTTTAATCATATTTTATCTCCTAAATATTATTCTAATTATTATTTTCATATTTTATCAACTTTTATCTCATTAACATTATTTGAAATATTATTTTCGTTTTTTTATCAAATTTTTATCTCCTAACTATTATTTTAAATTTTATTTTCGATTTTTATCTCCTAAATATTATTTTTGGATTTTTTTATCAAATTCTTTCCTCCTAAATATTATTTTATATATTATTATCGATTTTCATCAAATTCTCCTAGATATCTTATATA